AAATAATTTTTCTCTATTTGTTCATGCCAACATTGATATAGCTAGTGTAATTGTTCAGTTTCATTTTTATATTTTGGGTATTTGCTGTATTATGTTCTGTTTCATATTTGTTTTGTATATATAAAACAGTTACATGGAACGGAAGTCAAAATTTTAAAAGATGATGCATTTGAAGCTTTTAGCTTCCATTCTAGATTTCTCATTCCTCTTTTCTCCCTGACCCTATAGGTAAAAATACTTTCATCAGTTCACTTGAACTCTTTGACTTTGTCATACTGCAGTATGTATTGTTTCTTTTTCAATTCCATATTTATATTTTCATTCTTATATTGGGTTTTTATACATTTTAAAGTCTTTTATTTTCCTCTGTCTGGATTTTGTGTTTTACTTCTGAAGGTACACATACTTCCTAAGTTTGCATAAAGAAGTCCTTATCATCTATTTGAATGTTTTTATGCATTGATTACTTAATGATGGCATGATTGATCTATCAGGATTTTTATACAATAATTACTATATTGATAATAGGAATACTGGCCAGGCCCGGTGGCTCATGCCTGGAATTCCAGCATTGGGGTAGTCGAGTCGTTAGGATCTCTTGAGGCCAGGAGATTGAGACCAGCTTAGCCAAAGTGGTGAAACCCTGTCTCTACTAAAAGTAAAAACAATTAGCCAGCTGCAGTGGCACACACATGTAATCCCATCCACTTTGGATGCTGAGGTAGGAGAATCTGTTGAGCCCAGAAGGTGGAGGTGTCAGTGAGCTAACATCACATTACTGCACTCCAGTTTGGGCAACAGAGCAAGACTATGTCTCAAAAACATTAATAATAATAATACCGATGGTAAATATGGGTGCTGACATTCTGGTAGTTAATGAACTAAGCACATGATATGCATATTTTATTTAATCTACATAGAAACTTCATTCAGGAATGAAAGTATTATTGAATGTAATACAGAAATTGAGGGGTTAACTGACGTTCCCTAAGTCATATATTTACTTTGATAATGATTGCAATCCAAGCTCTGTGGTTCCAAAAATGAGATTTGTTAATTCAATTAGCATTCTCTCATCTTTAGGAGTACTAACATGATTTTACACCTTCATAGGTCATTTAGAGTTTTTCTTTTGTCAATTGTCTTGTCATACTCTGCCTATTCATCTTTGGGGGATTCATATTTTCTTATTGGTTCATAAGAACTAATACAAACCATTTTAAAGACGCTGACCCTTTATCACATGTGTTGAGAATATATTTCCTCATTAGCTGTTATTTGTATTTGGCACTTTTTGTTCAATTGAACTTTGAGACAATAAAACAATAAAAGCT